ATTGTTTGGATGCTTTTGGAGAAAAGAAAAGAAAAATCCTCTTTTCAGGCACTTTTTGCACAAAGTAGCCTTTGCATTTACTCGAAAAACGCTTCCAAAAGTTCCCCTTTTTAAAAGTTCCCCTTTTTAAAAGTTCCCCTTTTTAAAAGTTCCCCTTTTTAAAAGTTCTACGAATCTTTACTTCACATTGGAATCATAATATAAAAGTTCTCAGATCTAATTTTTTTCTATTCGAAATATCCTCCGAAATTCTGCAACTTTCTATTCGAATTATCCTCCGAAATTCTGCAACTTTCTCCTGTTTTGTGTCACCACCGAAAAAGACGTCAATTTCCTGGGAAAAACAATGGGAAACTTCCTGTAATTTGAGATTTTTGAAAAAAAGAGAACACTTTAGAGTGTGCATTACTCGAAAGAACGACACTCTATTTTACAATATCTTTTCTATTACAAAGACACTCTATTACAATATATTTTCTTATTCTAAACCCTCAATACTCTTTAGTAAATAAAAATGGAGTTTTCTTCGACTCATATCTAAATATCATAATCTCGAAAATTTCCCAAACGTCATCCTCTTTTTCATCTCTATCATCCAATCGATCTCTTCTCTCCAAAGAAATTCCCCAGAGAAATTCTCTTCTTGCAAACATGCACGAATTTTGCTTATCGTTGAAAAATAACGAAAAATTTCTCTCCTCATTTTACTCGTCTTTTTACATTTTTTTTTTGGTGACTCGTGGCCATCCATCTGTATTTTGAGATAACAAATCGTTTCTTTCATTCCCTTTTATCTTTTATCTTCTTGTTGATCGTCTCTCTTCATTGCACTCTTCCCAGTTTCATGCAAATAAACTTTTATTCATAAAAACAAAACAAAGTGTGCCTTTTAAATGGTTTTTTTTTGCATTTCGTTGATAAGAATATATATATAATAGTACAGTTTCTGTAGAGGGGAGATAAAATTGGACTCTAATTTCCTCTCAAGCTAAAGGAAGACTGCAAAAATCCGGTCAAACTTTAACATTTTGTTTGCTTTTAAGAAATACTTAAAAAGTTTGTGAGTTTTTGATTGGTTACAGGCTTTTCGATAAGCTGCTAGCTGCTAGCTGATAGATAAGCTGCTAGCTGCTAGCTGATAGATAAGCTGCTAGCTGCTAGATAAGCTGCTAGCTGCTAGATAAGCTGCTTTTGGACTCTAATTTCCTCTCAAGCTAAAATCAGACTGCTTGAATTTACTATGAAAGATCTTATTCTTTGAAAATTATATTAGTAAATTGATCTTTAGTTGCTTAATAGTATTTACTTTATATGTTAGCTTTTTGTTGTTAGTTGTTAGTTGTTGGTGTTATCTCTTGTTATCTTCTAAAGCTTTATGAGCAGCTAATCGCTTCTCTAAGCTGTTTCGTGTCATCTTGGTGTCAACAAGTGAAACTATTTGAGTTTAATACAAAGATAATACTAAAATAGTGAGAAAATCCTCAATTAAGACCGATTTTTGAAGAAATTCTCGACAACTTTACTTCCTTGAAGAATTCCTATCACTTTATTCAATGAAAAATTCCCGAAATTCTTTTGATCTCATCAAATTGCGTGTTTTTGAAAGGAGGAACTTGAGCTTAAGTCCAAAAGTCCTAAGGAACATACACAAAAAAACATTCAAAATGATTTATGGAGGAATTTACGTGTGTTCTTCTTTTCTTTTCCTCAACAAATCCCCTCAACTCGATCACTCTTCCCGTTCTCTCCATCTCCTTTTTTTTTCTTCTCGAGGCCTCGTTTCGCAGTAATGTCCTTTTGCCCAAAAGCTTTCAGTTTTCAGTTACCAAAAGAAAGAAAAAAAAACGGTCAAACTTTAACATTTCGCTTTTGTTTGCTTTTAAGAAATACTCAAAAAGTTTGTGAGTTTTTGATTGGTTACAGGCTTTTCGATAAGCTGCTAGCTGATAGATTATAGGCATTCAACGATCAATGACCTAAACTCGTATTGTTATCTGCTACTAGAGCTACTAGATTATAGTTTATGGCGTTTTCTAGAGTCAGATTGTATTAGCTAACAATAATGAACTAGTGCTGGATTACTATAGTAAAGCTAGTTGCTAGTACTCTAGTTTTAGTACAATTTGAGTACTGTGACTCCAGTTACAGTAATCCAATACCCTTTAGTACAATTGGTGAATTGTAACTCCAGTTACAGTACTCCAAAACTTCAGACACTGTAACCAGTAATTTAATAACAGTACTCCAGTCTTGTCTCCAGCAAGCCAGCACTTCAATCATAATAAACTCTAGTCAAAGTACTCCAGGACTCCAGTACTCAGCTCAGCTGTAGTATTGGGTACTAAAGTACTAGTATTGGGTACTACAGTACTAGTGTTGGGTACTATAGTACTAGTATTGGGTACTACAGTACTACAGTACCCAATACTCGAGCTAAAACCCCAGTTACAGTACTCCAATTATAGAATACGACTTCTACTAGATAAGCAGAATTTCAAACTTTGAATCTTTCTTAAGATCTGTTCCACAGCTCTCCCTAAGCTCAGAAAACGCAAACACTCATCACCTAGTACATGGAAATCACCGATTTTCCACAAAATCACCCTCTTTTTACCCATTTCTGACCAAACTTTCTCTTTCTAATTTATCTTATCTTTTTTGGACAAATTCATTGGACAATAACGAGAAACTGAGATCTCCATTTTCTTCTCACCAACTGTTCCCTGTTCCCTTTCATACCTTTCATATTTTTATTTCCCAAGAGAACTTTTTAGGTTTCAAATGGACATTCCAATTTTTTTCATTCTTTGATTCAAAGTGATGATCTCAATGAGGGGAAAAAAAAAAAGGGGGCAGCTGTCCCTTTCCCTTACCAAATCCCCCTCCTCATTGAATCCCCATTCTTCTCCTCAAAACTTTTTCCTTTTTCTTAACACTTTCATCGCCTTTCCCGACAACTTCCTAGTTGTTTCGATTCAAATTTCATTTTTTCCATTTTCTCTTGCCAAATCTTATGCCATTTTGTGGCAAAATGTGGCTACATGATAGGAAAGAAATTTCAATTTAAGCACATTTTACATGTCGAAATTGTCACTCTACTTTCTATACATTTTCGTTTCTATTTTGATATTTTGTTGTTGCCGACGAATCTTTTTTTTCCCTTTCCTTTCCCTATTCCTTTTCTGATAAGCCGATCAAATATTTATTACCCATTTTTTGCCATTTTTTTTGTCATTTTGACCATTTTTTGCCATTTTTCGTGCAAAATATTTCAAATTCGATTTTTTTTATCGTGAAACATTTAAATGATCAAAATGGCGACTTTTAAAAAATGGGAAAACCTCTAGTTTCGTTTTACAAAACAGTTAGAGAAGTTATCCGTTTTGTACTGTGTGCTGTACTTTGTGCTCTAATGAAAACATTCCCATTCTAATGTACTCAGTTACATTCTATTTCTAATGTACTCATTCATTCCCATTCTAATGTACTCATTCGAATGTACTCAGTTACCTTTCACCGTTGTGCAATTCTCGAAGAAAATCTCAAACCGAGTGCACTAGAAAGAATGTGTTTACGTTGCTTTTGAGCAACGTAAACACATTCTCAGGAAATAGTTTGATCTGTTGATGAGAAACGAAACTTTTCCTTGTCCATCTACTCTCAAACTTAGAAACACACTCCCTCTGGTGCACTCCTTTATTTGTGCATTATCCCCTTATCTGTCTTGAGTTTAAAAATCGAAAATACTAGTTTTATATACTAGAAAATACTAGAAAATACTAGAAAATACTAGTTTTTCAAAATAAATCAATTTTTTTGAAAAAATTCAAAAAAAAAAAAACAAAAAAAACACAATTCCAACTTTCTAAATCAAAAAGAAAACCTAACTTTGCAATTTTTCGATAAAAATTTTTAAAAAAACCAACAAAAGATTAATAGAAAAAGAAACAGAAAAAGAAAAAGAAAAAGAAATGATCCATGTCATCAGCATCAGCATCAGCAGTGTGCAAAAGAAATTTCAAAGACAAAAAGAACTTTTGAGAAGCTCTGAGGAAAAAAATCTCTTCTAGAGTATAGCCTGAGAAAAACGATTCGATTCGAAAACAAATAGATCAACTTTTTTTTACTCATTTTTCTCTCTCTCTCCCTTGCACCTTGCATTTCTCTCTCTTTTCAAACATCTCTACTTTCATCAATCTTTCAACTTTTCTTTTTTTGATTATCTTGAAATTTCTGAGTCAACTTGTCATTTTGCAGCGATCAAAGAGAGCCAGACTCCTCAAATTCTTTTATGTATTTGCCTTTTAGTGCACTCGATGATTTTTCTGCTTTATTCTTAAATTTTGATCTGTGCTTTGATCGAAATCTTTGAATATTTTGATGAATAAAGTGCATCTCATCATTAATCGGAAATTCTTTTGATCTTCTTTTGTTTGATGTCTTGAAGATGTCTTACAATGTCTTACAATGTCTTACAATTCCCTCCCAGCTTTTGCAATGATCAATCAGTTTCCTTATTTTCTTTATCTAGTTCTTTTCTGTACTTTAAACTCGGTCTAAACACATCCTTTCTAGTATACTCCGTCACTTTTCTCACAATGATTAGCATTTGATTGGTTCTGTAAATGTTACTTTAATGTACTTTGTGCATAAGAAACTTTCTAGTGATTTCTAGTGATTTCTAGTGTTTTCTAATGATTTCTAGTGTTTTCTAGTGATTTCTAGTGCTTTCTAGTGATTTCTAGTGCTTTCTAGTGATTTCTAGCCCTTTCTAGTGCCTTCTAGTGCTTTCCAGTGCTTCCTAGTGCACTAAATTTGTCTCCTTTTCAACGAAAAGTGAAAATTAGTACACTAGAAGTCTAAGCACAAAGTATGTACATGTACAAAGCACATTTTACATGTCAAAATTGTCATTCTACTCCCCGTTTTACCATTGATTTCATTATCTTTCATTAAATCAATTAATCGAAAACATTTCCAGTTGAAATCCCTTTCAAAAGATGGGCACCGAAGTGTTGTCAACGGATGTGTGCTGCCCTCCATCGCCATCCTCCTCATTCTCTTCCACTTCCAGCTCTCCATCAAATCTTGTCGACCGTCCATTCAAGATCATCGTCCAAACGCAAACGTTTTTAATCGGTAAATGAGATTTCAGTATTGATAAACAAATAAATAAAAAGCCCATTTCTAGTTTAGCAATCTCTCTTTTCCAGATGCCGAAAATATGCGCCAACTCTCGCCAATTTTCTCGATCATGTGCTTCGGAAAGGATTTTGATAAGGTAAAAAAAAAGCTGACTTAAAATATTTATCAAAACTATTTATCAAAAATATCTAAAACTATAATCTTCTCTACTTTTCAGATGGACGAATATCATCGAGAGATCGTCGATGAGAAAAGCGGTGATGTTGGCATTTTTCTAGATGCTATACAAGACCATTCGCTTATTGGAGGTAAGGAAATCAAAGATTTCAAGGAAAACTTTTGAGTTCTAGAACTCATGCGGGGAAAGCTTGGAATCGAAAATGATCAAGTGAATCGAAAAAGAATCGAGAATAGCAAGAAATCTTACTGTAGCTCTTGATTTGTTTCTAAAAGACTTTGTGGTTTATTTTGAAATTTCACAATATCATTTTACTGATTCTCGATTCACTAGAAAGATTCATTTTGTTTCGGCTAAGTTTAGAGAAATCGTTAAAATCGGGGTAGGCTAATTTCCGCCAATTTATTTGCGCAACAGGGTCATTTGCGCAACTGGGTCGTTTGGGCAACTCGCCATAACTTTTTTTTCTAAGTGACACAATCTTTATGATTTTGGTTTCATTTTGTTGCACTTATTGAGATCTACATCTATTACAGTACTTAGGAATGGCTACAGTACTTAGGTATGGCTACAGTACTTAGGTATGGTTACAGCACTTAGGAATGGCTACAGTACTTAGGAATAACCCTGCTGCTCAAATAAAATTAGCCTACCGCTTAAAATCGATCCATTTCCAGTTTCGTTCTGTTAATTGAATATCTAAAATATCTTAAAAAAGAACTTTCAAGATATTCAATCAACAAACCACAATGATCGGGAATCGATTTTTTCATTTGTCCATCCCTAGTCAATTCGATTCCAAGACTAGCTTGGGAGTTTTCTTTACCAAAAATCTCAATTGCTAGCTATACAGCTTGTACTACAGTACTACTTGGGTACTATCGCTTTTATAGCACAGTAGCATAGTCAAAATGATAGTCCTTTACCCCTTAAACCCAGCACAATTTAGAGTTGAATTGAAAATAAGTTAGACACGATTTCAAGCTCATAAGACAAACGCTATAAATGTGTTTTTTTCCAGTGAAAAATCTGCCAGTGATTCTCCGTCTCGCCAATAAATATCAAGTGGATTCAGTGATTGACGCGTGCGAGGATTTCGTTCGGAGACAAAATCTTGAGTAAGCGATTTGCATTTGAAAAGTGATCTAAATAGAAGAACGCATCTAAATAGCAATTTTTCAAGTGGAAAATAGTTCTTAGAAGAAGTTAGAAGAATTTCAAGTACCCGAATTACAGTATTCTGTCAACGGATGAAGTGCTGACGATAGTGATCGCTTGCCACGAGTTTCACTCGTCAAAAGTTGGTTTTTGAGTGAAATCCATAAAGATATAAAGAATCTTCTCTTAAAATTTTCACAAATAAAAACTCCAGGACGTGGTGGTGAAATTGATTCGACGTTTGGCGAATGAAGAGAAAACGACATTCAACAGATTAAAGCTGAGTCGACGACTGCCCGCACAGGTATGCAAAAGGGATTTTAACAAGAAAGAACAAGAAAGAGCTCAAATGTTGTTCAGAAATTCGTCATTTAAATAATTTCAGATCTACGGGGCAGTGATTGGGGCGAATTTGAATTTGTGCCAAATTCGCGAGGTCGGGCAAATGAACGGGCACTGGTTGAGGACTGTTGGGTGAGTGTTTCGAAAAAGAGCTATTCTGGAAAGAAACTTTTTCGTATCCAGCATTCTAAAGTTATTGTTAAACTCATCAGTACAATGTTTACAGTACTTCTAGTACCGTATGCAAATTGTAGTCTTCAAATTGTAGTCTTCAAATTGTAGTCTTCATTCAAATTGTAGTCTTCAAATTGTAGTCTTCAAAATCTTGTTTTTTTTTCAGTTCTCGCGCTCGCTGGTACCGTGCCCCATGTGAATTCTGTAAGCAGATCACCGATTGTGCGAATTGTGATACTTGCCGAAAAGTGAGTGACGAGTACAATCAAATATATCCAATAGCCAGGAATGTTCTTGAATTTTCTTAATCAAAACCATTTTTAGACAATGTGTCGCGATCACGTGGCCGAAAATAAATGCCCTGACTCGTACGGGACGAAAATGCTCAAAGAACTCAAGGAGAACATTGTCGAATTGGAATGGGATTAAAGAAAATGAAAAATCGTTATGTTTTCAAGATTCAAGGTTTTTCCCCAATTGATCTCTTTTTGAATTGGGCAATCTGGGTTCAAAATGTAAGTATTTGAGGAAATTCGTGCAGATACCCAGATTGCTCATCTTTACTAGGCGCCGAGATTCTAAAACAGCTCAAACTTCTCCACATTGACTTGAATTTTGTGGATTTTCGCATCTAAAACCTGTAGCTTTTGTACATAGATACTAAAAAGGGTCATTTTGGTGTCTTTTCCCCTTCGGTAAACCACTTGCTTCATAAAAAAAACAGTATTCATGAATGCCTTCAAAATTCCATTTGTACTTTTTGTGCTAAACTCACGTGCTTCATTTTTCCTGCTAGTGCTTACGGTTTAAATTCACTGGTACCTAGTGCATCCGGTTCATTTTCCCTATGCTTGGTCTTCGCTCGAATGTTGCCTTAATATACTGAAAGATACGTTACTAAATACAAAAATACAAATGTTAGAATTTTACGTATAAAATTTTTATTATACCTTATACTATGCTTTGAAAATAAATAACTAAAGACCATTTCCAAAGTATGCAAAAGAAATGCTAAAGCATACAAGGCAAAAACAATCAAACAAAGAAGAAAGATACCTATTCCACAAAACACAAAGCTAATCTACACGACTACAATAAGAAAAGCTAAGAATATCAATAAATCCTTTAAAGAATTAACCGGAGAAAATGCTAGATAATATCCCGTAAACTATTTCTTTAAAGTCGTCCAATCGATTTGAGTACCTCGGTGGTCGTTTTGAATGGTTGCTTTACGGTCTCGTCGATGGTGGCTCCCCTACAATAAAATTCAATTTTTGATCATGAAACCGAAGTGCAAAACCCAAGTACCTGAGTATAATATCCAAATCATCCATTTACACCAAAAACTAGCTGCTAAATTCGTAATTACCTGATTTCTTGAGTGGCAGTATTGGCATAAATATCAGCGTAAAGAGCTTCTGGTGGAAGGACGCCATCGGTGGTGGCAATTTTTACTGCCTCCTCGACCTCCTTGCGAACATCCTAAAGAATTATATCAATGACAAGATCAATCTAAAATGTTTTACCTTATCGATTTCTTTCAGTTCATCTTCAGTCACAAGTCCGGAAGTAACGACACGGTCCTTAAAACCAGTGATAGGATCTCTCGTTTTACGCACGTTTTGAATTTCATCACGAGTACGATAGCTAAATATCAAAATATACTAGTATTAAATGTTGAAAGTATTACCTTGTACCAGGATCTGACATGGAGTGACCGTGATAACGATAGGTGGCCATTTCAAGCATCAAGGGTCCTTTGCCGGCGTCACAATATTCCTAAAGGGGTAGTTTGCCGTGCAAATTTACGCTTTAATTACCTTTGACCATCTGAGCGCTTCACGAACAGCCAAAATATCCATTCCGTCAACCCAGATCCCGGGCACGTAATCACCTCTTTAAAATTAACATTAGCAACGCCACGCTTTAAAAACTAACCTCGTGTAGTAATCGGTAGATGCCGATGCTCGTTCGATAGGAGTTCCCATTCCAAAACCGTTGTTCTCGCAAATGAAGATCACAGGCAACCCCCACAATTTAGCCATGTTTGTGGCCTAGAGAACAAGGGTTTACTAATTAACCAAAAAAATTCAACCTCAAAGAGTTGTCCTTGATTAGCCGCACCTAAAGTTTAGGTATTAGCAGATGTTTGTTGTGCATATAAAAGCTAAACCAAAAAAAAAAATTTGAGAAACGCACCATCTCCATACAAAGTCAAACAAACATTCTTCTGGTTGCTAAAAAATAAAATAAAATCTTCTGTAAAAGACAAGGCTTACCGGTATTTCATAGCAAAAGCAACGCCAGCTCCAAGGGGTTGTTGAGCACCGACAATTCCATTTCCTCCATAGAAACTAAAGATGAGTCATTATTCTCAAAACATAGTTACCCAATCAATTCAACAACCAAAAACACAAATTTTAAAAAAAAGTTGAATAAACCCACTTTTTCTCGTACATATGCATTGATCCTCCCTTTCCGTACACATTGCCAGCAATGCGACCTTCAAATTTCTTTGGTTTAAAAACCCATTCTTAAAAAATGAACCTGTAAGCTCAGCGAGAATCTGGGTGGTAGTTGACCCCAAAAGATATGTCCATCCGTGGCATCGGTAAGCTGTAATCACAGCATCACCTTCCGTCATCGCAGCTTTCATTCCAACGGCGCAAGCTTCCTAAAATTGTGTTGTTTCAATCCTAACACTGAATTTATTACTTGTCCGGAGTAAAGATGGCAAAATCCTCGAATTTTCTTCTCCTTGTACAAGTTACCAGCAGCGCTTTCCATACGACGAATCACCTGTCAAACATTTTAAAATATAAAACTTTTTTTTGTATAAAATACATAAAAGATTTTTGGATACCTGCATTTTTCTGTAAAAATCAAGAGCATCCGTTCGGTTGAGCGTCACCGAAGTTTTGGGCCCATTGTCAAGTTTGTGCAATTTGTAGCTTTGCACCTAAAATATAATATTTAAATTTTAAAAACAATAAACTAGCTTACGGTGAAATTGACATCATTTGTTGAAGCAAGGCGAGTCGAAGTGACTGTTGTTGCAGCGGCAACGGTCGAGTTTGCCGCTGGCTAAACGAAAAAGTTACACGTGTTAAAACAGTGAATAAGAATTGAATAACAACACAAGGACCAACCTTGAAACCCTTTGAAAGCACGGACAGCATTTTGTCGAGAAGACGCCTCAAACAATTCGCCGTCTGGAGAGATTTAACATTCATAACACCATAATATTTAGAATTAAGATAATTTTTCGTTTCCTGAACAAATATTTAATTAAAAGGACATCAATACACAGATCTTTATTCTGTATAAATTAAAAGATAGCATTAAAGTATCACAGCAACTAAAAAAGATAAACACAAATAATTACCAATAAAAAAGCAGAAAATATTTGAAAGATGCACAAGGTATCATGAAACCACGTATCAAAAAGAGCTAAAAAAGACCGGCATTTCCCCACCCCAAACTTTATTGTTCTTTTGAAGCAAAAGTGATCGATGTTTTACGGATTAAATTAAAGATAAAAAGAAAGACAATTTACCGGAAAATGCTCAAGTAAAACACCCATTGTGATAAAAGCACGGGAAATTAAAAGCTTTCTTTATTTTTTACCCTTCGCAGTTAGTTTTTCACGAATCCACTGGTTGATGCGTTCTCGTAGTTCGTCATCTAAAAATCGATGTAAGCCAAGTTTGCCAAAGAGAAAGACGACCCGGTCAAAAGGAAAGAAAGAAAGAAAGGGGCCCAGATTGCATTTCTCAAATCTCTCCGAGGCTTTAAACACCCACAATATAGCCACAATGGCTAGCTTTTTGTGTCAAAATGTTTTTCAGCAATAAATTAGCAAATTAAAAGTTTTAAATTATTTACTGAATCTCATCTTTAATCAGCTATTAATTGCAATAAAATACCTGATTGCAATTCTTTATCATCAAGAGCTTCTCGAGTGAACGGATTCGTTTTGCTCGTTAATAGATGACGAGTGATCACTACTCGATCAAACACCATTCCAGATGGAGTCTTTACTGGATCACGCATCAAAGTGTTCATCAATGGGTCTAAACAACTTTACAAATAAAACCGAACAGAGGGACCAACCCAAGAACTCATCAGGAGCATCGTCCAATTCCTCTTCCTCACTTTGCCTATTTTTGTAAATCTAAACAGATTGAATAACTTTAAACGCCAAAAGTTACTTGTTCGGCTTGTTGCATAAGTCCCGTGAAAAGTTCTCGATGCGTATCGGAAACAACACGAGAGTGAAGCATTCGTTGGATTATTTCAGTCATTAATTGAGGTTTGTAAGTGCGCTGAAGTTTAAATTGGCAATTCCATTTATTTTGAATCAAACTTCGTCTTTGGCGATGTATTCAGCAAACTCTTCCCCGGAAAGATTGAGATAAATGATCACAACCTGAAAAAAATGAGTGGTTGACAAATTACAAAACTAGGGTACCTGAGTCGCAAGTTCCTTTGGCTTCCAATTGAAGCGTTGTTCAGCATCGCGAACTTTCAATTCCGAGCATTTCTTTCCACAAAGTTGAGATATATTGTGGTCGAGCATCGTGGCCAATCTTTCTCCAAGAATCTAAACGAAAAAACTTAAAATAAAAATTGAAAAACTGACCGGTTTGAGGAATGGCTCTGCAGCTCCGGCTGTTAAATAACCAAGAAGATCTAGGGTATAGTTGGCATAATACAACCAGTTTCGAACCTAAAATATCTAGTCTTAGCCATCAAATATTTTGTTTCATCTATCAGCCAATGAATTGCTTACCATACGTTTTGCCTCATCTAAAGCTTCCATCTTTCCTTGTTGTTCTTCCTGGTTCATACTAGCCCATTCTTCCCTAAATTTTAAAATTCAAAATTTTAATTTTAGTCAAAAGCAACACACCGTTTGTTCATAATGCCTTCAATATCGTGGATCTTCTTCAAACCAGCCAAGCTCTCATCCAGATGGAAAGTAGCATCGTTAATGATCATGTTGATGAAACGAATGAAATCATCAGAGCACTCTCTATTTTAAAATGAGAACAAATAGTCATAAGTTTCAAACTTTGCTAGATCAATCAAAGTCGCCTGGTAAATAATGTTGTCCCAAAGAATCTTGAAAATAGTCTAAAGTTTGAAGAAATGATTGATTATAAAGTTTTCGAAACCTGAATATGATATCTGATGGAAAATTTCTCATAAAAATCGGTTCTTTCCTCAACAAACGCATAGAATTTGACAAGAGACGGTAGAAGGAGGCGAAGTGCAACTAAAATAAGTTTTATGACTTTTGTGAAAAATTAAAAACTATTTTCAATAACTAAACCTGGATGATTGATCAAAGGATTCCACAATAAAGGCATTCGGGCCACAAGAGCAACTACTTCCACAACCTAAAATACACTAATGTATTTCAAAGGTAGATCAGTTTTTGGAGTTTTTCAAAAATGAATGATGGTACGTTAAAACCGCTTTTTGTAATCAATTTCTATTTATATTTAACAATTAAAAACGATATAAAACAAATAGGCATCAGCAAAATTTTTATTTTAGACAAACTTTACTCCGTTTTATCCAGTTTTATCTTTTTATCCAGGAGTTTTATCCAAAAACATTATGATTTTCAGAAATTAGATCAAGTTTAAGCATGACTCTTCTTTGAGAATTTTTCATTCAGAAAACGGCCGCGTCAGGAAATGGGTGTGAACCTGAGGCGGACAAAAAAAGGTCAAAAAATTGTGTAAAATGGCTTAAAATTCCACTTTTTTTTCTTTTTTCTTTTTCCTGTCTCGATCATTTCCCAGATCACCTAATTCCCAAAGAAGAGTCATGCTTAAATTTGATCTAATTTCTGAAAATCATAATGTTTTTGGATAAAACTCCTTAGAAAAATTTTTTATTGGAAAAACTGGCTTTTCCATACAAAATCGAATTTCCAGTTCTCGAAAACGGTAAGAGCTATCGACAAGTGACTTTCAAATTTAAATTCATCATTAAATTATTAAAAAACGTTTTTGGAGTTTGTCTCAACTATTCAAAACGTTCACTTTTCCAAGGGTGCCTGCAAAATTATGTCCAGTTGAAAAATGGGACTTTGGAGTAAAGTTTGTCTTAATTATAGAGTTGAAAAGCCCAGCTTTTAAAAAAGAAACTACGAACCTTTGCTGACAAGAATGGATTTCGAACAAAAGTTTGCGAGCACAAAAAGATTAGCAATTGTACCGGGAAATTGACCTGCATTGACAAGATCATAGGAGTTTTTCTGGAAAAAATGTATAATTAGCGTGGAGCAATTAGCCAACTGTAAGCAGTAGCTGAAGAGATCAAGCAAATTGTCGAGATAAAATTCAGGGTAGGCGGCAAAAAGAGGGGGGCACGTCGGCGGCAAGATTCCATTAACGGTACTAAACGTAAAATTTTACGCCAAAATTATACTAGACTTACAAATCTCCATTTATTCCGTTGATCAAAAGTGAAAGTTGTTTTGACGAAAAATCCAAAGCTTTAGTGAGGTATGCTTCATCTTGTATGAGAGCCTCAAAGCACATAATTCCTCGAACGATACGCTGAACAAGTCATTTTCAAATGTTTTCCTTTAATTATACGAACCGTTTTATTCTTCTTAATATGTTCAATTTCTTTCTTGAGTTGTTGTTTCGAAAAGTCTGCCATTGGACTTTCAGGCATTCTTCGTAGTTCTTCTTCGAGGTTCTAAAAATACTAGTTGAATTGATGAATAGTAGCTCAATTATTTCAAATGAAGGACCATGAAGAACATTCAAATGAAGCAAATTAAGCAACCTCAAGCCTATCTCGTAAAGTGCCAATATGTTGTTTCAAGCCCTTCAATCGATTGATTGCGCCATTCATTCCAATATTTTCACATTGCATTGTAAGGAAGAAACACTCGGTAGAGAAGTTCTCTGGGGGTGATTCAGCGCTTGGTGGATCTAGAACTGACTGTCTTGAAAAATGGAGTTAATTCAAACAGAGTTGATCAGCATATTCGCGAGCATCGTTCAAGTCCATTTGGAAACGTGTTTGCTCAGATATGTCCACACGTGCTCCTTTCGAAAGCGGGTAACTAGGATTGACCTGAAAACAAAATTTAGTTCGCAAACTGGATTTAAAAGTACCTTCTTGTAGTCGATAGGAAATGACATATCGTAGAGTATGCACAATATATTGAAAATAAAGCCGTGGCTCGCCAATTTTGAGAAATCAGCCTGAACGAAGATTACAAAAATTTAAAACCAATAAATTACCCTCATCTGAGCTCTTTTTGCATTGTGCTTAATGATTGCAGCAAAGAAATCCAACGTTCGGCTTCTACTTGATACGTTTCCGAGTAAAGCTTTGCTGATTTCAAGCAAGTGAGTCTAAAATAAATCAAAACATGCTGAAAACTTGAAACAAGCAAACCCGGAAAGCATTGATTCGGTTTTGATATGGCAGGTAAAATCCACGAAGTTCACTTTCACGAGGACGTTCTTCTACGCCAAAGAAATTTTCGGATGTTCTCAACTAAAAAGATAAATTTAACTATTTATACACTTTCAAACACTTACACTGCCTTCATCGCAGGGTAAAGAAAAATCGAAGAAAGGTCCCAAGAAAGAAGTCCGTTGAATTTCTCGGCCAGGCAAATCACCTAAGCATTCTGGCACAAAGTCTTCACGATTTGCAATCTAAAAGTTTATCGTTATAAAACCTTTTCCAAATTACCCACCAAATCCGCAAACGGTCGGATAAAAACATCTTTCCCTGCAGAGTCTTGTCCTGTTTTAACTCGAAGCTTGAGTAGGGCAATTATTAACTAAATTTAAAATATACTTTTATCAAAATTAAATTAAGTACCTTATAAGGAAGATCGACAATATTATCGTGCTGATGAACCACTGATTGCCCAACCAACGAGTCCTTTTGCTGTGTGAGGATCAAATCAAAGATCTGAGAAAAAAAGCTTGTAATAAACAAAAAGGCGATGCCCTACCTGTACAAACTTCGAAGACGCTTTTAAGCAAAGATGCTCGACAAAGGTTTGAAGAAATACTTCTGGCATTAATGCTAGATACATTCGTTTACAGAAGGCAAGTCGAGCAACCCGACCGCTCAATCTAAAAAGATAAATAGTATCTACTCCTTTCGTCGTAGATCAAAGTAAAAGCCAGAATTTTATATCTCACTTTGGAGCCAGTTCACCAGCAAGTAGCATCCCAGTAACCGAGTACAGATGCTGAAGCAATATTTCACAAAACGAGTACTCGTTTTCCAAAGTAAACTAAACGAAAAGAAAAACAATTTTAAATTTCAAAAGATTGCTACTACCTCGCTTTTGAGCTCCCGTTGAATCCGGTTATAAATCCCAAGGACATAGCTGAATGCTTGACCTTCAGGTGATTGCTCCACGGTATCTAGTTTCGGAATATAAAGCACAGCACTAAATAAACACTAAGTGATTATTCAAGAGAATTTTATTACCCAATCGATGGACCTTCTGATGGTTGATCGGCAGTGGAAGCGATTTGCTCAAACGAAGTACAAGCGGTAAGGAAAAGATCGTGAACTCCAGATTTACCTGAACGCAAAATAATTCTAAAACCTTCGCTATAAAACTGACTCAATTGTGTTCCCTGTTTGACCAATTCGTCGATGCAACTCTTGAGGTTATTTACATTAGCACCAGAAAATTCAGCCTGAAAACTTTTGATTAGCAACAACCTCCACGCAAATATAACCTTTTCAATGCTGAGAACCCGGGTAAGCAGTTCACCAAGCCTTTTTGCTTGTTGAGCGTAATCCTAAAAGAAGATTTTAGCTCATTCTTTTACTTTCAAAGATTACCGTCATAAAATCATCATTCGAGTCGAGCCTCATCTTTTTCCGGGCTAAATCCGAGAGATCACTGCCGACAACGGGATCGGTTCTTGCCTCACCCTCTTCACTAGGCATTACAATGCTTAATTGAACAAATAATGATTGTTAGTGAGAAACTGCATGGAAAATCCAATAAATTGTAAGAAAATGAGGTGTTATTTTGCACTTCATCACTTGATGAAAATAAAATGCACGCAAGCAAACCTCACTGGCGTTTTTCGAGATACGATTATAGTTTGAAGGCGTAAGCGGGTGGCAAAGAAAAGAGGACAAACAGAGTTGAGAAAGAAAATGAACCGTTTAACTTTTGATTGGGTTATAATAGTGCAATTGAAGAAAACACCATTAGCACAAGATATCCAGTCAATAGAAATTACTCTGTTTTTTAAAGTTTTGGAGCGCCAAATTTTTTGCAAAACACGCCACAACTTTCTTCTAAGTCGGCCAATCTTTATGATTTTTGGGGGGTGGGACAAATGCGACTTTTTTTTTGCGCACCCGGACATTTGCGCACCCTTTTCGCGTTTTAAAAAAGCTCTAAAAAGCTAATATTAACCAATTTCTATTCCAAAAGTTGTTTTTCTAGGAAATTTTAGGGCGTAGAATCGAAATTTTGACATATCAGAGCTTGTGGAAACAAACGGACGGAGTTATACAAAGAGAAAAATCGACAATTTTCTGTAATTTGATCTAGCCGTTTTGTCTTTCAAATTGGTTCCACACGCTCTGTTATGCCAAAATTTCGATTCTACGCCCTAAAATTACCTAGAAAAACAACTTTTGGAATAGAAATTGGTTAATATTAGCTTTTTAGAGCTTTTTTAAAACGTGAAAAAAGGTGCGCAAAAAAAGGTAGCATTTGTCCCACTCCCTCATTTTGTTGCACTTGTTGAGATCTACAAAATGACACTAAAATCATAAAGATTCGCCCACTTAGGAGAAAGTTATGGCGAGTTGCGCAAAAAATTTGGCGCAAAGTAGTCACTCCTAATTTTTGCATTTAAACTCAAAAAAGTGTTTGTTTTCCAAAGTTCTGTGTTGTTTTGGTGCATGTTTTTGAAAAAAATATATACAATTTATTGCCAATTGAATAACCCGAAAAGTCGTTTCATAAAAAGTGACGACTATGACAAAATATAGGAAGACAAAATGCTTTTGTATTTACAAATTTTTACGTGACTAGATGAAAAACAGGGTACATATATATGCATTTTTCTGGCCTTTGGTTCAAGTGATATGTGTTTGCGAGTGAGGTACAAAATATTGAAGAAGAGAAAAATGAGCATTGCCTAGAAAAGTGAGAGAAATATCAAAAAAAAGGGGAGCCCTAGAAGCGGAGGTGTTTTGAGTGGGCTTTGCCTCGAGATTAAAATGTTTTCTAAAACCTGCCATTAGGAAACAGTTATCGTACTGATTGCCTTTTTAAAATTTAACGTAGAGTTTTTTTATCTAAGGCAGGCCAAGGAGTACAGTAGCTTGCTTGGAGCGCACCTTTTAAAAAGCACTGACACAGTTTAGAGAATCACTGAAACTTGTACATTCGAACAGTGTGACAGGCATGATCAACAACAAAACATTGGCCGACTCGATCCCCGCCGGCCACAGATAAACCACACGGGCGCCTCAAACGAGAGCCGAATGAGTCGATGTGGAAGACGAATTGACCCTAAAACTCGAATATTGAAAACAGAGATCAAACAGGTGAAATATTTGCAATATATAAAAGCTTTAGTTTTTCAAATTTCTCAATCAAACCTTGTATTGCGAGACGGCCAACTGAGCGCGATTCGTTTTCGGATCGACAACTCCGCTAATAATTCTTGCTGTGGATGGACACACCGCACACGAGGTGACCATCATTGAACGTCTGCAATAAATATTATGAAACCTACACCAAGCTCCATTTTCAACTCACTTTTCCTCGAGATTCACGGGGATTTCTCTCAAGAACCGCCCGGCTCCATCAAAGAGTTGAAGTCCATGCTTGGTGCCAACCTAAATCAAGGTTTTAAAATCTACCGTAAAGACTGATAGACAGCCACGTGGCCACCCCACGATGACGGGCGTACAGTCGCGTAGTCTAACTTTGAACGTCCCATTCTCCTCGCTGTTTTATGCTACAGTATGCGCTTGGGTGTCAAATGATAGCCCTTGAAAGCTAGTATTTTTTGGTACCAAAAGTATTGTTAGGAAAAAGCTAGGGGCCGAGAAAAAAATGATTTTCTAAAAAAGAAGTTGGATTACGCGACTGTACGAGAGCGTTTTATTAGAGTATTTACGATATTTTATCCTTTTACTCACCATTATATCATCATTTAGACCAACATTGACACAAGTGATTTGCTGCTGTTTTGCGGCAAATGAGAAAAGATATCGGAAAGTGGCATCAAAAACGAAAACCTGTAGATAAAGCTGGGTTAAAATCTCATTCAACTAGCAAAACCTTGTCAGCATCAGCTATCAATAGCCGTCCTCTTCTATCCACCGCTAAATCGATCGGCTCTTGAAACTCGGCAAAAGTCATTTTCTGAAAGCTTTCACTTATCGAATTGAAATTTCAAGTACTGGGCCTCAAAAAGGAAGCTTTTTTAGAATTCGATGTACTCAATGACCCACCTCTGAAACAATTCCCTTTGTATCGATCCGATTGACACTTTTCGTTTTCCAATTTAGCACGGCTAAATGCTCAGCATCGATCATAGCCATTCCGACAGCACTGCCACCCTAAAATTTCCGTTTTATTTACAGCATTCGGTTACCGCACTTACCTCCAAACACGGCGAAAAGATGTCATTGATCACATCACCATTGTCTTTTACGATACGAACTGAAAACGTCTTTAATATTATAAAAGCTAAATTTCTCTACTTCGATTATTTCCCGTGTCAAGTACATAGAAAATATGAGGGCCTTGAAGGCAAACGCGGGTCGGTTGACGCAATTCCACAGCCAATTGCCATCTAAAAAGAATAATTCAAATAATTCAAAGAATAATTGTATTGGAAAGTTGATAGATTTAATCAGCATCTATATTCAGTTACTGGGATGCTACTTGCTGGTGAACTGGCTCCAAAGTGAGATATAAAATTCTGTCTTTTACTTTGATCTACGACTAAAGAAGTAGATACTATTTATATTATTTAGATTGAGTGACTTGCTGTTGCGGTTGCTCGACTTGCCTTCTGTAAACAAATCTATCTAGCATTAATGCCAGAAGTATTTCTTCGTTGTATTTAAATCATTAAAAGAATAAAAACAACTGCACCAGAAAGCACAAAAAGTATTATACAAATGTTAGGGAGAGATTGAAGTCGATACTTATTCATCTACTATGAAAAATTTACAACATATAGCTTTACTTCTTGAGTAATTAAACCTTGTCTCTTACAATTTGAATATAAAGTTATATAAGATTGAAAAATCTAAACAAACCTTGGTGAATGGTGGCTCTCGACGGTGACTAAAAACGGGCTATTCTTTACGGGTCTTCCAAAAATCTTCACATTTACCCGGTATTCTCCCGGATCACGAATACTAAAATTCAAATCATTTCTTTGTTTTATTCCTTTTTCTCACCGAAAAATGACATCATATGTTCCATCATCGTTATCTTTCACCGAACAATTGTAGTTCTCACATCCATCTCCTTCAATGCAAGCGCTAATCGGATCACCACCAGTATTTCTAAAGTTAAAGACGGCTTTAAACATTTTCTTTTGCCATTTACCTAAGCTTTCCATTTACATCACATGTGGTCACTTTCAATAAAGTTTCTGTATGAGTGGTAGCTGATTCGGTTTGGTCAATTGTCGATGCACCGGGGAAAGTCGATGAAGCTGTTAAAGCACCGAATGCTCCGACACAGCGTTGCACCTCTGAAAGATCGAGATTTGGTTACCCCTTTGCACTGCTATCTCCAAAAGAAGTTACAAAACAATTCCTTCAAATTGTACCCTGTGTGAGCTGACTGTCATTGGTGTTCAATCGTAGAAAAGCGTTCTCTCGTGGTTCGATATCCATTCGACTTGCTCCATTCGATTCCCATTCACGAATTCGTCTACCCAACTCGCGCACATCAAGACTTCCGCTCTCCAATTCCTAGAATAGACACTGATTGCAATGGTTAAAGAATGCAATGGAAGTTTGGTCTTAGAAGTGAAACTGTATTGCTGAAGTAAAGTGGGTAATGAACAGAGGGAAGAAAGAGTATCTTTATGACAGTTATTACTGAGTATTACGACAGTTATTACTGTAGCTTCTACTTAAGACTATCTTTACGACAGTTATTAATGAAAAAATTAAAAATTCCCTTCACCAACCTTATCCAATTTCTTCATTTCATCAGAAAGGCTTTCCATTTGATCTCGAAGAACCTAAAAAGGTTTTTGGATTTAGATTTTTGATGGATCACATTTATCAAACCTTTCTTTTATCATCTCGCCGTACACGAACACTTTCAAGTAATTCTCGTCGTCTTGTTTCAATGATATGTGATACTTCCTAAAATTATTGGGTTGTCCAGTTATGAATGCGCGTTTTTTTACTATTTTGTAAATTTCTCAAGATACCGAAATCAAGAAAAAGATATATATGAGTATTATTCGAAAGCTGAAGATCTCCTCTACATTTTGATATAAAAATTTTTTGAATTTTGTTCAGCTTTTGGGCAAATTGACTGCACAGAAGAGAAGGTGGCCAAAAAATGGAAGGGTGCCTTTGGATCAAGTTTTGGCTCCGCTCAAATTGAGTTAACCGTTTGATGTTTGGCCAATAGATATATCAATACAACTTTTTTTAAAAATATAACAATTTCAGAGCATCTTTACTTTACTTTTCTTTTCTGGACGGCTATTTTACACCATAAAACTTGAGGAATAGCTAAGCTGAAATGGGTTTTTTCGAAAGCGACCTCTCCCTTTGTGCAGTCAATTTCCCCAAAAACTTGAATGAATTCAAAAACTTTTTTATTCCAAAATGTAGAGGAGATCTTCAGCTTTCGAATGATATATAACACTCATATACAGCTGTTCGATATCTTGAGAAATTTACAAAATAGTAAAAACGCGCATTCATAACTGGACAACCCAGTATTTCTAAGATAACAGATAATATTATAAATCTTAAACATATGATTTAATTACTTACCTGAAATGCGGAGTTGATTTGATCAACAATCGTGTCGGCATTAGTGTCCAAAAGTCGGATTTCTTCGTTGATAGCCGTTTGAGCCTAATTCGTTAACAGATTATTTTCAAATACCGTATTTCTTCGAATAGAAGACCGGGTAAAGAGTATGATCACGTACTCCTGCGTAGCAGCCCTTTTTAAAATTTCTTTTCTGCATAAAAGCTTTCAATCAAGTGCTATAGAACTGGAAAATGACTCAAAAATCTGTTAGCTCATGTGGTATTTTTGAGTCATTTTCCAGCCCTATAGCACTTCATTGAAAGCTTTTATGCAAAAAGAAATTTTAAAAAGGGCTGCTACGCAGGAGTACGCGATGATACTCTTTACCTATTCGAAGAAATACGGGGGTGGGACAAATGCGACCTTTTTTTTGCGCACCTGGACATTTGCGCACCTAGACATTTGCGCACCTGGACATTTGCGCACCTAGACATTTGCGCACCTGGACATTTGCGCACCTTTTTTTGCTGGAAAAGGCCTTAGGCAAGACCGTAGAGCTTCAAAAATGTTTTCATAGGAGGGAATCGTATGCGTAGATTCAGAATTTTGACAAATCAGACCTCGCTGACACGTCAAATTTGGGCTAAAAGGCAAAAACTACGCAACTTAACGCTTTTCCGCAGTTTTTGCCTTTTAGCCCAAATTTGACGTGTCAGCGAGGTCTGATTTGTCGAAATTCGGAATCTACGCATACGATTCCCTTACCTGAAAATATTTTCGAAGCTCTACGACCTTTCCTAAGGCCTTTTCCAGCAAAAAAAAGGTGCGCAAATGTCCAGGTGCGCAAAAAAAAGGTCGCATTTGTCCCACCCCCGAAATACGGTATGATTGTAATACTTTGTTTTAATATGAAAATTTCTATTCCATTATTTCTTTTCCATTATTTTATTTCCATTTTACCTGTTCAAGTGCTTTCAATCGACTCTTTGTTCTGTACAACATGATCTCACTCATTCGTTTCAACGCGATTGCCAACGGGATCACCGTGTGCTGTGAGCATTTCTTACTAAAAAAATAGCATTTCTTAATGAAAATTTCGAAAAATTCGTCTCTTTGGTCTCTTTTGCTTACTTTGATGAAGTTTCTTGACATTGTTGACAAAAAACGAGATCGCAACTCTCACAATACAGCATGTTGTCACATGGATGCATTGCACAATGGGGGACCACGTCCTAAAATCGGTAGATTATTAAAAGTATTGAAGTCAAGTAATTTGTTTGGTACTTTAAGAAGTTTACGACTTCCCCACCTTTTCCCCCAAGCCTGTCTACCGTACAGACTAGGACGTACTAGACATCGGAAAATTTCAAGCCGAATCTAATTCCACCTTCGTTTTCTCAGCCGTTTCTTGACTGATTACTCTGAAATTTTGTCTACAAACTGAAAATGCCGATTTCTATCTGTAGATAAGATTTTAGAGTAAACGGCCAGGAAAACGAAAGTGGAATTAGGTTTGGATTGGAATTTTTACAATGCCTAGTTTTTGTTCTAAACATAGAACAAAGTCTTGTCCGATCTTTGTGCTAGTAAACGCACGCTCTCTGGCAATTCCCATGTCTACCGTACACTACACCCATTACCCATTACCGTATCCCAATTTATTTGGCTTAGACAAATGAATGGGAGTAACTCAGTGAATATACATCTACTTCTAAGCTCTCCAACTTGTTTAGACTATATGTCGTAGCCGATTATGAATGAGCGGGTCCGGACGCGTCCAACCATCAAGTATTTGGTATCATTCAACGCAGAATCATTAATAATTATGTTAAATTTTTTAAATTAGAAAGATTGGATAAAAAGAAAAAAAATTATGGGGCTTCAAAGTTTTCTCTTAAACAAACAGTTTTTTTGCTCTAATTTTTTTTCTTTTTATCCAATCTTCCTAATTTAAAAAATTTAACATAATTATTAATGATTTTGCGTTGAATGATACCAAATACTTGATGGTTGGACGCTCCTAGACCCACTCATTCATAATCGGCTACGGGGGTCCCGCCGATTTTGAATGAAACGTTGTAGCGCCGGTAATTTTTAACCTAAACTCACAAATTTGGTACCAATCGACGCAGAATTTAATTCGCTACAGGATGATATAATATTGTCCTCATACATTAAAGGGTTGCTCTACTAGAAAGATTTACCAAAAAATTTCATTCATAATCGGCTACGACATATATTTTGGTAAGTTAAAAAGATTAGTTTAGTATATTTGTTAGTTTAT